GTGAGGATTTGTGTGTGTGTGTGTGTGTGTGTGTGTGTGTGTGTGTGTGTGTGTGTGTGTGTGTGTGTGTGTGTGTGCGTGTGTGTGTGTGTGCGTGTGTGCGTGTGTGTGTGTGTGTGTGTGTCTGAGCTGAGCTTCTGTTAGCTCAGCCTCCACCTCAGTGTGTGATAAGTGTGGTGCTCTGGTCCTGCTGGGTTGGACACAGACAGCGAGGAAGGCTCATTTGCAAACTTGCCAACGACTAAGCTGGATGACGCCTGCTGCTGTCTTGTCAGTTAAGACACTTTTTTTCAGCATTTCTAAGGACAGCTTTGAAACGGCAGAGCTGCAGCAGATGTGCAAGCATTTTGTCAGTACTACGCCTACAGTACATTTACATTCACTTACAGTAATGAGGGCACTGTGCCTGCTAGTGCTTGTAGCTACGGTTACGTAATTAGTTACCCAATTACCTGGCTTGTTGGTTTGTGAAAATGTCAGCTGTTTCAAAGCCCCCGACCCCAGAGAAAATGGCCGGTTTTTGTTCTATTGACATGTGTGCAGGTTGCGTGGTCGACTTGGGACTCTACCGTGTCTGATGACAGAAGACCTGCTCGTATTTATCACGCTTAAATCTACAGGTGCAGAAGAAACAGTAGTCTGTGTGTGTGTGTGTGTGTACTTACTACCCCCCCCCCCCCCCCTCCCCCATCTAGCCACGCTCCTGAACAGACATTCTTCGTCACTCGCCTCTGACCAAGGCCTGCTCACTGTCCCTCGTTCTCGGTGTGGGACTCGTGGGGACCAGGATTTTTCAGTCCTAGCTCTCACTCTGGAACCAGTTGCCACCCTCAGTTAGGCTGTCCCCATCTCAGCCGGTTTTTAAGAGTCGCCTGAAAACCCACTTCTTCTGCTTGGCGTTCCCTGAATGTGTTTGAGGTCGGCCCTCTTTTATGTTGATTTTCTTCCCTGTTTTTATTGGTTACTTTATCCCTTGTTTTATCTATTTGTTTCTACTTCAATGTTTTAATCCTCTTTGCACTATTTTATATGCTTTTATTATCTACCTATTCATTGTGATTTACATTTCTTATGTACTGTTTTCAGCACCTTGGGCTCCTTGACAGGAAGGCGCTTTATAAATAAAGCTTTGATTTGATACTGAGGACCATTTTAACCATTTTCCCTACAAAGTGAGGACAATTTATTGGTCCTCACTTTTTTTTAGAAGCTTACCAATTGGTTTTAGTTAAAGTTAGGGTTAGGAATAGATCAGCATAAGTTATGGTTGGGATTAGGGTATGGGTTAGCCATAATACAGTCACAAACGTCAATGGGAGTGAATGGAAGGTCCTCAATATGATAGAAAGACAGATGTGTGTGTATATGTGTGTATGTGTGTGTGTGTGTGTGTGCGTGCATGCATGCGTGCGTGTGCGTGTGTGTGTGTGTGTGTTTGAGGCTTTATACCAAGAGAAGGTGACAGTCTGAAAGGATAAATAAAGGGACACCAACAGCGTGATCACAGATTTCCTAAAATTGGTTGACACGATCATTTACAATTAAAATCAATATTCTCTAAAGGCTACAGTCCCTTCATGTCTGATTACAGGAGGAAGTAGCCACAAACACTTTATGCTGCAAAGACGTGTGTGTTGGGGGGGGGGGGGGGGGGGGGATTACGTGTCTCTTTAAATAACAAATCATCGGGATTGGAGTGGATGAGTTAATGGTCACAGCGAGGCTCAAATGGCAGACGAAAACGAGTATAATGATGACTTAGTTAATGTTAAGGAGGAGCTGATGCAGATGTTGATGATTATGTCTCTTCAGCTTGCAGAAAAACACATATTCTAACCCTGCTACGCAATAAGGGATGAGAGAAGCCGTCAGTGGTTGTTAATGGTTTAACAGATGTTCTACAGGTGTTATTTTCTCACCATAATAAAAAAAAGTTCTTTAATTGTTTCATTTGGAGTAAAAAACTGACTTTCCTTTTTTATGTTCCAGCAGAATAGGGCTAACTCCCTTAGCAGCAGAATAAAGCAAAAGTTCAATGCTTTGAAAAATGCTTTTCCAATTCGGTGTCTTGCTGAGAGTTAGATGAGAAGATTGATAACGCTCTCATGTTTGTACGGCAGAAATGAAGAGACTCCCAGCAGTCAGCCAACTTATCTCCTCACAAAGAGAGACACGGCTGCACTGCGCCGGTCCAGAGGTAGCAGAGCATGCACACCAGTGCCTCTAATGCAACTGGAATTTTACATTTAAGATGCACAAAAAGTGTCCAACATAAAAAATAAATCACATCTTTATGAGGTTCACGAAACAGCAGGAAGACAGTCATGAAAAAGCTGTCTCCTTCCCTTTTTAAAGCCATAATTATGGTTACAGTCACCTCAACATATAGACAATAATACATTTATTGCAGATTTGTTTGCTAGCATTTTAAAAGAAACTCGTTATGCAATAGACAAAACATCGATTGTAAAGGAATAGATCTATTAGAGCTGATTATTTATATTTGCCATTTATCTGCTACCTCTGGGGTCAATCTTTTGTAAACATAGCCTATCATTCTATCTCTATGCTGACGATTGCCAGATTTACTCTCCATTGTGTCAGGAGAAAGGTCACTCTATCCAGTCCTTTGTGTCCTGTCTTAACGAGGTGAAGTCTTGGCTAATGGCCAACGTTCTACATCTGAATGAGGGAAAGACAGAGAATCAGAATCAGTTGAATTGTCAGTGAACAAACAATTCACAAACTAGGAACTTGCTTCGGTACTAATGTGCTACGTATAACATGAATAATAAGATTAAAAATCGAATAAAATAGAATAAAATATAATAAAAAAAACTAGAATAAAACTTTCAGCTATAAAAAATGGCAGGTAATGGTAACATGGCCGATAACGTGACTTTGTGTCGAGTACAGAAGACGAGCATGGTTGTGTGTTTATAATCTATTCACAAGTCTTAACAGCAGATGGAATGAAGCTGTTCTTATGGCGGGAGGTTCTGGTCCGGGTGGACCGTAACCTCCTGCCTGAGGGAAGCGGCTCAAAAAGTCTGTGACCCGGGTGCGAAGGGTCAGCTGCTATCTGACCTGCACGCCCCCGAGTTCTGGAGACGTACAGGTCATGGAGAGATGGAAGGCTGCAGCCAATCACCTTCTCAGCAGAGCTCACAATGCGCTGCAGTCTATGTTTGTCCCTCACTGTGGCTCCAGCATACCACACAGCGATGGAGGAGGTGAGGATGGACTCAATGATGGCCGTGTAAAACTGCACCATCATCTGGGCTGGCAGCTTGGCCTTTTTCAACAGAAAGTACATCCTCTGCTGGGCCTTTTTGATCAGGGAGCTGATGGATGGCTCCCACCTAAGGTCATGTGTGATGGTGGTTCCGAGGAAGCGGAAGGAGTCCACAGTGGTGACGGGGGTGTCTGTCAGGAAGAGGGGGAGAGATGGGGCTGTGACTTTCCTGAAGCCCACAATCACCCAGTTGAAAATCTCTCAAGATCAAATGTGACTTTGGAGTAAACAAACATGGTGGAGAAGAAGAAAGCATCCATCACCTTGGTCTCTGATTGGCTATGGGCAGTGCCAGTGTTTGTCCTCTGTAGAGTTATCTGCATACTGAAGTCACATCTGTTGCTATTCAGTGGAGATTCCGAAAATGACCAATCAGATTAACCTATGAAGCTTATATCATGTATACAGTTGTGGTCAGAAGTTTACATACACTTGTAAAAAATATAATATAATGGCTCTACTGAGTGTCCCGTTATTTCTAAAACTCTGATTTTTTTCTGATAGAGTGATTGGAACAGATACTTCTTTGTCACAAGAAACATTCATGAAGGTTGGTTCTTTAATGTCTTTATTATGGGTTAACAGAGAAAAGTGATCACATTTGCTGGGTCACAAATATACATACAGCAAAATGAACTAGCAATTTTGGTGACTTAGAAACGTGTCAGTGAACTGAGCTTCATAGCATGGCCTCTTAACTTCTTGTGAGTGATTATGAGTGACTACAGCGGGTGACTTCTCTTAGGCCAGGTAAATAGGGCTCATTGGATACAAACGCCCACAAACGCTACAATGGGAAAGTCAAAGGAGCTCAGCATGGATCTGAAAAAGCAAATTATTGACCTGAACAGTCAGGAAAGTCACTTGGGGCCATTTCAAAGCAGCTGCAGGTCCCAAGAGCAACAGTGCAAACAATTGTTTGTAAGTATCCCGGATACTTAATATATCAATCTAAGTTCATATATCAACCTGTTTGATGTAATTTTAATCCAAAGACTAATGTTTAATTTAGATAAATAAATTTAATAGCAAAAGTTATTTTGAATCAGAAGCTAGGATCTTTGCTTTCAAATAACCAGAAATATTATACCTTTTCTGTGTTTCGTTTCAATAATGAGGCAAGTTTAAAAATGAAGAAATTTATTACTAACAATTTTAAACTGAAAGATTTGAAACGACAATCATAAACAACAATTCAAGGATGACAATTTAATGACAATTTTTAACAGCTTTGATATTAAACTTGTTTTAAAAGCAAACCTGTGCCTGAATGGAAGCTAAATGAAAAATACAAGTCCAAAAATCAGACAAAAACAATCCAACACCTTTGATAGCTCCAAATTATGATTGGAGTGGATCCAAGGTACCTCTCAGGTCAAAGTGATGTTAAAGAGACAATGTGTAGTTTTTATTGTTACTCTCTGGAATTATCCATTAAAATTTTGTTGAAAACAAATTAAATGATGCCCAGTTGTTGAAAAATATTGGCAGCTTCATAGCATATAACCATATAACCATGAAAATCAGGTCTAAGACATTGGAGCAGGTCTAAGTTTCTGGGCGACACCATATTGGACACAATGTTTCCTTCTACGAGAGCCAGTGAGGACAAAACACATTTGCTGATTTGCAACAAATGTTTACAAAACGTTCACCATTCATAAACATTGTTGTTTTACACATTTACGTCTTCTCTCGTTGACAGTGATGAAAGGGAGTCTGGTTCGCTTGTCAACTGGAGGTTGAACGATCTGATGAAGTCCTTGCCTGAAAATTGTGCTCCCAGGTATTTTTGACCCTAATGGGCATCCATTGGTAAAGTCTTACTCAAACATAAAAATATTGCTTGCTTGCAATGATTTAGGTATCTACTACCCCCTATCAGTACCTGATAAGATTATCTTTGGAGCTTTATGGTAATCAGCAAATCCTTAAGGTTGTGGGAATGTGAAGATCGGGTAAAAAAAATGAGCACGATTGTCCTACTGTGTATACCGGGCCTAAAACATCATCAGCTTCCTACTAGAATACTTGTTAGCTATCGACAACAGGTAAAAAATTAATTATTTATAATCGTTCCACACTAAGTAATCAGCACTATCCCTTTAAGGCATTGAGAAAGATAAATTGTTCTTGTCTTTTAAAGATTTAGTATTGCATTTAAATGCTATAATAAATGAATAGCCATAGGCTGCCACGTGTGAGCTTCTCTTTTGTAAATTGCTGGTGATCACCTCTCAATAGCGTTATTAACTCGAAAGTATGTTGTTAACCAACTTTCAGTCCTTTTCTCTCTTTTCCTAAATGTTCAAATTTCTGTTTCTTGGTCATTTTCAGAGTTAGGAAAAAATGATTCATCCTTTGCTCGATGGAGGCAAAAGCAAGCAGTAGAAGGTCAGATCTTTTATTAGCCATCCAGCTGAGAACTTGACACCACTTAAGAGCAACACTCAAACTAAACGTTCCAGCACTGTTGATGAAATAGCCAAACTTCCCCTCTAACTCTATGTTCCAAGCAAGGTGCATTTTCAACAAAAGGATAAAAAATACCAGAAAGGGAGGGAAATGACTTAATGTCGTGTATAAGTTATTAAAGTTTCAGGTTACACCAGCCACTATGGATAAGTGCAGGCCCATCATAAAAGATTAAGTTACTCCAATGAAGTTGACTCAAAAAGGGAGTGAGTACTAAGGAAAAGGAAAAGGAATAACATGCAAGATTCATAAAGCAGGAAGAAAACCAGCGTGTTGTTTGCAACGTGGCATGTATTTGGAGTCTGGACTTTTCAGCGTTAAAACCATGATCCACACAGATGCATGGACCAACAACAGTAATTACAACACACATCCCATAGTTGCACTTTTTGTCATTTTAGGTAAAAAATAAAACTATCTATGTTTACAAAGCAAGTGAAGCCCTTCTGTGAGGTTTTAGTGATAAAATGTGACACTGGAGGGAAACGACTGTCACTTCGGCCTCAGATGGAGGAGATGCTGCTGTTGAAAGGAGGGCAATAAATAGAAAGATGTCAGTGCAGACATGTTGTTACTGTTAATAAATAAAAAATGAGCACCTCCTCAACCATCTGACCAATAAAACATGCAGATTAGTTCATTAACTTTATCATAAATGAATGCATGGAGAAATTGATTTTAAGTCTGTAAAAAGACATGAAACTATGGTATGTTACTCTAAGTTAAAAAAGGCTTTGCTCCATCCAAACATAAAATGCTCTGCCACCAAGAGATGGAAATGCAAATAATTTATATCATCCTCACACTCAGGAGGGTGGAAATGGTAAACAATGAATTAAGATGTCCTCAGATTTAAAAGCAGACACAACTATCATTCAAAAGGCACATTAATGTCATTTTTTAATTATGATTAGTTATAGTTATTTATATAACTTCGCTCCTCCATTCACCAAATATGGACTTTAAGCGTTATTGAAGTGTTTTATTTAAAAGCAATGTGGCAAACAACTGTGAAATATATTCAGACTTCTGATTCTTATTATTTGAATCGGCGCTCTGCAGATGTGAAAGTAAACTAAATCATTAAAATCACAGCTCAGGGCAGTCAAACTAACCTCTTCTTACCCTATCAATATTAAGTTGACCTTTAAAGGGGTCCTAGAATTCAAAATCACATTGACCTTGTTGTTGTTAAATAAAGACAGCTTGGGGTGTTTAAAGAGCAAATTGCAGGTTAAAGACTCCCATAAACCACTGTTTAGAGAAACATAGTAGAAACTGGTTTTAAACATTTTTTACACATACATAAATTATTTAGGCTTTTAGTCATTTTTGTGAGAAAGTTTTATTTTTATTTTTTTTGGGCCAAACCAAGTGACGTCAGCTGAGGGAGTCCTGTTAGCTTAATCCAGAGAAAAATGTGGATTCTAATGCGGCTCTGACAAAGAGGAAACTTTAAATGTTTATAATTCTACTTATGGTGGACCAAAACCATAAAGTTATGAGTTTGCTGCACAGCCGCAGCAGGTGAGTTAACATGTTAGCTTAAACTCGTGTGCTAACATCACAATATTGTACAGGTTACCAGAGGTGGGACCAAGTCACTGCTTTGTAAGTCACAAGTAAGTCAGAACTTACTGACTGAATGTGGTGTGTTGTCCTCTTTCGGCTTTTGAGGGTGACGGTGATGACATGGTGGGAATTCCGTGGAGTGAGGGATGATGGGAGATGGAGTTCTAGACTGAGGGTCTGTGGGTAGCGAGGCAGCTGGAGGGTGAGAATGTGACACCTATAAGATATAACCAGTATGATTTTGGCCTCTGATATAGAATTTTTTACTACCTGCCAACCGATTGCGCTTGTTGTTAAGGAGCGAAACAGTTTAATATTTGACCCGCTTTTGCATGAATGTTGCCAGTCTGCGTCAGCTCAGAGCAGAGCACATGTATTAAGATGTGCTTGTAAAGAACACAGAGTAATGTCGGTTACATGGACCTGGTGTGGATTTTAGGAGTCTGATGGTGAACTGAAAAACATCTTCAGTAAATATGCCAGGTGAGAGTAAAGCCGTATCAGCTTTAAAAGCTTGTTAACACCAAATCTCTTAAATGCTGTTTGTTTTATAACAATTTAGCAATTGCAGCTGAACATGTCTCAGAGGGCTGCGTATTTCCGCTAATGAGTTTGCAAAAAACAACCAAAATGTGCAAATAAGCAAAGCGTCTTGATTCAGGCGCAGACGCTGTTTCGTACTGAGCTACAGCTCACAGGGTTTCACACGCTAGAATAAACTTCATCACGTTGTCAACGTGAACTGTCACATGATTATCACTCACCCAATCACCTGCATTGACGTCATTTTCCCACAAATTGTAGTTCTTTGTAGTCCCAGTCTTTCGTCTTTTTCTTGTGCTTTTTCCTCCTGACACACACCACTACGAACGTTTTGATGACTCACAGACCCGCCCAACGGTACACCCTCCCTCCTCGAAACAGTTGACACCATTACAGCGCCGGGTGATGTTCAAGTTTCACTTTCTGTTTCCTCACGTATATATTCATGCAATATTCTTTATTATTGTTATTATTATTAGTGAGAAAAAGGAAAACTATATAGGCTACTACAGAAAAATTAGCTACAAATAGTCAACATTATTATGTTAGACTCCTGCAGATAATTATTAATGTTTTCATTTTTTTACAGTTTATATAAACGAGTGTATCTCAGAAACTATTTTATGGAAGCACTGCATTTATATAATTAAAATTTAGAATGTAAGGGTTGTATTGATGTATAGAAAGTTGAAATGCTCCAAAAAATGGCACCACAGCATATAAAAATGTAAATATAAGTTCTGGCGAATTTGTTCTATGGCAGGTCTTAAAGAGTTAAACAGATCCAGTCTCTCCCCCCCCCCCCCCCCCCCCCTGCTCTGTGCTGGTGTGCACTGGTGGGGCCAGCGAGGATCAGCTGATCTGAGTGCAGTTGAACAAAAGTGAAAGAAATTGGATAAACCTCCAACATTATTAAAAACGCAGCAGAGCATTCTTTTAAATGCAGTTATTCTAACCCCTAAAGTAAATATCAACCACTTAAACCCGACGGTTGTAAAGTCGTTTCAAAACCGTGCTTAATGTTTACCGATATATGCTAACTACACACGTACATAATTGGAAGAAGCTAGGCTAAACAACTTACCCCAGGAAGGCGGCCGGTCCAGACAGAGTACCTGGCAAAGTACTAAGAGCATGCGCACACCAGCTCACCCTCATCTTCCCCAGACTCTTCAACCTCTCACTGGATCAGGCAGCCATCCCGTCCTGTCTAAAATTAGCCACAATCATCCCAGTACCGAAGAAGTCTCCCATCTCCAGCTTAAATGATTACAGCCCTGTGGCCCTCACACCGGTAATCATGAAATGCTTTGAGAGACTAGTCCTTCAGCACATTAAGGATCACCTCCCCCCAGAATTCGACCCCCACCAGTTTGCATACCGTGCAAACAGATCCACAGAAGATGCCATCGCCACAGCCCTCCACGCTGTGCTGAGTCACCTAGAGCAGCGGCAGAGCTACGTCCGAATGCTCTTTGTGGACTACAGCTCAGCCTTTAATACAATCATCCCGGACATCCTCATCAACAAACTGGTCACTCTTGGCCTCCTTCCTCTCACATGTGCCCGGATAAAGGATTTCCTCACAAACCGGCCCCAGACTGCGAGACTCGGCCCTCATCTCTCCTCCACTCGCACACTGAGCACCGGCTCCCCACAGGGCTGTGTGCTGAGCCCCCTCCTGTATTCTCTGTACACCCACGACTGCAGTCCGACCCACAATAACACTCTCATCATCAAGTTTGCTGATGACACCACGGTAGACTGACTCATTTTGAAAGGAAACGAAGCAGAGTACAGAGAGGAAGTCCTGAAGTTGGCAGCATGGTGTTCAGAAAACATCCTGGCACTGAACACCAAGAAAACCAAAGAGCTTTTTGTCGACTTCAGAAGACACAGCACCGACTTGGCCCCCCTCTACATCAACGGGGAGTGTGTGGAGAGGGTCCACACTTTCCGGTTCCTTGGTGTCCTCATCTCTGCTGACATCTCCTGGGCGGAAAACATCTCAGCGGTCATCAAGAAGGCCCAACAGCGGCTGCACTTCCTGAGAGTCCTCGGGAAGTACAAGCTGAACTCCAACCTGCTGCTGACCTTCTACCGCTCGTCCATTGAGAGCCTGCTAACATACTGCATCACTGTATGGTACGGCAGCTGCACCAAGGCAGATAGAGTGAGGCTTCAGAGTGTGGTCAA